TATAAAATTTAAAAATTTAAAATTAAAAATATATATAAAATATAAAAGAAACTTTAAAATCTAAACAAGGAGTTATAAAGTACAAAATACAAAGTATTAAATATAAAACATAAAATTAAAACCAAAACTTTCTGTCCCGGAGCTGCCGCTGCGTCCAAACCCCAAATTCTGCTCAGCCCCAAAACAAATCCCGGAGAAAAAAAATCACATTTTTAATACGGGATTAATAAACTCAATTAATTTAATTAATAAATTTATTTTATTTGCCTCTTTGTTTATTAATTTTGCCATTTATTATTTTGAATTGTTATTTATTATTATTTTAATTGTGATTTTATTAATTTTAATTTTATTTATTAGGTACTATTTATTATATATTATTTATTTGCCATTTACTATTTATTATTTACTATTAATTACTATTTATTTTAATTTATTATATTCTATTTATTATGTATTGTTTATTATTTACCATTTACTATTTTTATTATATTTACGATTTGCCATTTGTTATTATTATTTACTATTTACTATTTATTATTTGTTATTTAGTAATTAATTTTATTTATTATTTAACATTTATTACTAATTATTGGATTAACACAGATTTGCCTCTTTACCTGCTTATTTGGTAATTTTTAATTATTTATTTAACATTTATTTACCTCTTTGTTTGCTTATTTATTTACTAATTTATAATAAATTACTGATTAATTAAGGACTTGCTGTACCTGTTAATTTAGTAATTGATAATTAATGAATTCACATTTCTTTGCCTCTTTGTTTGCATATTTATCTATTAATTTACAATTAATTAATGATTAATTGATGAGTTAATTTATTTAGTAATTGATAATGAATTAATTCACATTTATTTATCTGTTTGTTTACCTGTTCATTTATTAATTTATAATGGATTTAAATCTCTGTTAATTAATCAGTTAACATTAATTTACTTGTTTGTTTACCTGTTCATTTATTAATTGATTAACATTAATTTACCTTCTTATTAATTAATTTATAATTAATTTATATCCTCGATTTATTATCATTAATTAACTATTATTAATTCATTGTTAATAAAATAATTATGCTATCATTAATCAATTATTTAATAATTTAGAATTAATTTAGAATAGATCAATGTCCCTATTTATTAACAAATTATTTTATTCCGTTAATTAATTAATTTAATTCATTCCATTTATTAAATGAATTGATTTTCCCACCCAGGGCTCATCCCAGGAAGTTCCCAGTGCTGAATTCCAAAGGAAATGTGGGAATATCCCGGAATTCCCGGGAATTGCGGCCCCGAGGCCTCCCGGGATTCCCGGCACCAAAATTTGGGATGGAGCACCAAAATTTGGGATGGAGCATCCGGGATTTGGGATGGAACAGCAAAATTTGGGATGGAACACCAAAATTTGGGATGGAACACCAGGAATGCGCAGGTGAGGCCCTGGGGATGAGGAAAATTTGGGATTGGGGATCAGGAACACCCGGGATCCATTCCCGGGATGAGGAAAATTTGGGATTGGGGATCAGGAACACCCGGGATCCATTCCCGGGATGAGGAAAATTTGGGATTCGGGATCAGGAACACGCGGGATCCATTCCCGGGATGAGGAAAATTTGGGATTCGGGATCAGGAACAGACGGGATCCATTCCCGGGATGAGGAAAATTTGGGATCAGATTTGGGGATGTGCAGGTGAATCCCTGAGGATCGGGCACAGGTTGGGGTCAGCCCCGTCCCTGTCCCTGTCCTGGGGAGTGACCAGGAGTGACCAGGGAGTGACCAGGGGTGACCAGGAGTGATCAGGAGTGACCAGGGGTGACGGAGAGTGACCAGGAGTGACCATGGATGACCCAGGAGTGACCAGGAATGACCAGGGAGTGACCAGGAGTGAACAGGAATGACCAGGAGTGACCATGGGTGACCATGGGTGACCGGGACTGACCAAGGTGACCAGGAGTGATCGAGGGGTGACCGGGGATGACCAAGGTGACCAGAGGTGACCGAGGGTGACCAGGGGTGACCGGGAGTGACCAGGAGTGACCGAGGAGTGACTGAGGAGTGACCAGGGGTGTCCAGAGGTGGCCAGGGTGACAAGGTGTGACCATGGGTGACCATGGGTGACTGGGGATGACCAAGGTGACCACAGATGACCGAGGGTGACCAGGGGTGACTGGGAGTGACCAGGAGTGACCGAGGTGACCGGTCACTGCCACGACCGAGGTCACCAGATGTGACTGGGGGGTGACAAGGGAGTGACCGAGGGGTGACCAGGAGTGACCAGAAGGTGACCGAGGGGTGACTGGAGGTGACGGGGGATGACCAGAGGTGACCAGGGGTGACCGGGGATGACCGAGGGGTGACCGGGGGGTGACCGGGGGTGACCGGGGTGACCGAGGGGTGACCGGGGATAACCAGGGGTGACCGGGGTGACCGAGGGGTGACCGGGGATAACCAGGGGTGACCGGGGGTGACCGAGGGGTGACCGGGGATAACCAGGGGTGACCGGGGGTGACCGGGGGGTGACCGGGGATAACCAGAGGTGACCGGGGGTGACCGGGGGGTGACCGGGGGGTGACCGGGGGTGACCGGGGGGTGACCGGGGATAACCAGAGGTGACCGGGGGTGACCGGGGGGTGACCGGGGGGTGACCGGGGGTGACCGGGGGGTGACCGCTGCCTCCCAGCTGCCGCCATCCCGCCGCTCCCAGCGGGACCATTCCCGGGATCCGAGCGCAGCTGAGCCCGGGCCGAGCTCATCCCGCGCCGCCTCCGGGGACGGAACGGGGGGAGGGAGGGCGGGGATGGTCCCCGTCCCCAAATCCATGGAAAATGGTCCCCGTCCCCAAATCCATGGAAAATGCCGCTAGATGTCACCCCGCGCCTTCCGCTGCCGTGGGGATGCGGGAATTCTCTCCCGCCACTTCCCTCTCCCGGTTTTCCGGGCAGGGATGGAGGGAATGAGCCGATCCCGGTTTTCCCAGGCAGGGATGGAGGAGGGAATGAACCGATCCCGGTTTTCCTGAGCAGGGAATGAGCCGATCCCGGTTTTCCCAGGCAGGGATACAGGGAATGAGCCGATCCCGGTTTTCCGGGCAGGGATGGAGGGATTGAACAGATCCCGGTTTTCCTGAGCAGGGAATGAACAGATCCCGGTTTTCCCGGGCAGGGAATGAGCCGATCCCGGTTTTAGGACACCCACCACACCCAGCTAAAGCGGGAAGTGGCACCGCATTCCCACAGTTATCCCGGAGGAGGAATCACTGGGATGGGAAAGAGGGAGCAGGGCTGGGAACGGGATGTGGGAACGGGGTTTTGTTGGGATTATGGAATTCTGGGATGGGGTGGGTGGGAAGGAGCTCAAACCCCATCCCAATCCCAGTTCTGCCATGGGCAGGGACCCATCCCGATATCCCAGTCCAGCCTGGCCTCGGACGCTTCCAGAGATGGGAATTTGGGATGGGAATTCGGGATGGGAATTTGGGATGGGAATTCGGGATGGGAATTCGGGATGAGAATTTGGGATGGGAATTCAGGATGGGAATTCGGGATGGGAATTCGGGATGGGAATTTGGGATGGGAATTCGGGATGGGAATGGCTCTTCCCTTTTCCCAAGCGGATTCCCAGTGTTTTCTCCCAGTGAATGAGCCGTTGGCACCTCTGGGGTTGTCACCCTGCACCTCCCAGATCCAAGGGGGCCAGGATCCCTTGGGATCAGCATTCCCAGGATTCCTGGGATCAAACAGGCCCCGATTTCCCTGGAAGTGCCCAAGGAACACCGGGACAGGGTCGGTTTCCACAGCGGGGATCACGCCCAGATCCAGCCTTGGCAATTCCGTGACTCCCTGACCCCACTGTGCTCCTGGTCCCCACTTCTCCCGGGAATGTCGGGCCGGGAAGGCGCCAGATGGGATTTTATAGGAGCCGCTATTCCGTGGTCGGAGCCAGCGGGCGCCGCGAGATTAATTCCGCGAAATTAATTGGGACAAGATTGAAAAGGAAATTAAGGCGCAGCTGAGTGAACATTCCCAACCTTTTCCCTCCTCCTCCTCCTCCTCCTCCTCCTCCTCCTCCTCCCATCGCTGCCTCTCCCTCCCTCCGCTTCCCGCATCCGGAATTTATAGGGAAAAGCCCCCAGGATCCGTCGGTTCTGAGCGAGGCAATTCCCCAAATTCCCAAATCGGGAATCCCCCAAAAAATGAGGAATTTGTTGTTTCCAGAGCGGGGTGCAGGATCAGGAGGGGGAGCTGCTCCTCCAACCCCAAATCGAGCCCCAAATAGGTCCCAATCCCAGTAAAAACCAATAAAAACCAATAAAACTCAGTAAAGACCAGTGCAAAACCAGTAAAGACCAGTAAAACCCAGTAAAAACCATCAAAACTCAGTAAAGACCAGTAAAAACCAGTAAAAACAAGTAAAAACTCAGTAAAAAACAGTAAAAAACAATCAAACTCAGTAAAGACCAGTAGAAACCAGTAAAAACCAGTGAAAACAAATAAAACCCCCTCCTGACATCATTAATCTAATTTTAAATCTTAATTTTCAGAGATTTTAGCACCTTTTGGCCTTGAAAATGAGCCCAAATCCCAAAAAAATCCAGCTCCTCCCTCCCGGAGGACATGGATGAAGCCAGCCCATTGGAAATGGGAAATAAAATGGGAAATGAGCCAAAATTCCCAAAAATTCCCCCAAAAAATTTTAAAAATCCCAAGAAAATTCTGCATTCCACATCACTGAGGACATGGATAAGGCCCAGGAATGCGAAATAAAATGGGAAACGAGCCAAATTTCCTCAAAAAATCCCAAAAATAATTTCGATTCTACCTCAGGATAGGATGAGGATGTAGATGAGGTCCCGTGGGTGGGAATGGGAAACAAAATGGGAAATGAGGCAAATTTACCAAAAAATTACAAAAAATTACCAAAAAATCCCCAAAAAATACCAAAAAATGCCCCCAAAATTCCCCCAAAATTCCAGCTCCTACCTTGCTGAGGATGCGGATGAGGTCGCCCCGCTGGAAGGAGAGCTCGTCGGGATTGTCCCCGCGGCAATCCCACAACCCCTGGTAATAATTGGAGTAATCCCAGTCGGAATTTTCTGGGAAAAAGGGAAAAAAAGGGTCAGGGTGGTGAGGGATTTATAGGTACGGGATCATGGAGGTGATTCCAGAGCCAAAAGTTCTCCTGGAGTTTCTCCGGGATGGGAAAGGCTCCAAATCCACCGGGAATGTTGAAAATTGGGGTTGGGAATGCCGGGAATTCCGTGGGCCACCACGATGGCCAAGGGAATTGCAGGAAATCATGGAAAAAGGGAATGACAGGAAATCAGGGAAATGAAAAAATCTTCCTGGAGGTGATTCCAGAGCCAAAAGTTCTCCTGGAGTTTCTCCAGGATGGGAAATGCTCCAAATCCATCGGGAATGTTGAATGTTGAGTTGGGAAATGGTGGGAATTCCATGGAATTCCATCACGGCCTCACCGGCCAAGGGATTGGTGCTCCCCCAAGAGTTTGGTCCCAGTTTTCCAGGAATTCCTTTCCCAGGAATTCTCATCCCGGCTCCTTTCCTGCTTCCCAGAAGGACAGGAGGAAGTGGGAGGCATCCCGGGAATGTCCAGTGGGATCCTGGGGGGTTGGATCCCAAAATTCCTGCGGGATCCCTCCCTGGCCTTTTAGGGATAAAGATCCCACTTAAAAATTCCCAAACAGCTCCTTTATCCCAAGAATTTTGGGAGATGTCTCCTTATCCCATTGGGAAGAGTCTTCCCAAGTGGAATTCCACCACCGGGAAGAGTCAAATCCCAGGAATTCTCCCGCTCTCCACATTTTCCACAGCCCAGGATGCTCCAAAGTGGCCAAAATCCCAAAATATTCCCCCCATCCATATCCTGGGAATCCTTTGGATTGGGATCTTACCCTCCTCGCTCCCGAAATCCTCCTCATCCTCCAGGAATGGCGGCTCCGGCTCCTCATCTGGGGAGGCAAAAAACAGTGGGAAAAATCTGGGAAAAACAGCGGAAAAATCGGGGAAAATCCGGGAATGTCGCAGCTCCGGCAGGCCCAGAGCTCCGAGAGAATCCTGGGAATAAAAAATTCTTGGATTGATTGTGGGGAGAGGAAGTATCAGAGGGGATTTTCATGGAAAATCGGAATTGTTGTGGGCACTGGGAAAAAGAAATCCGTGAATTCCGGGTGTCCCCATGGGAAGAGACGTGACTTGGGAAAAGGAGATTCCAGAGGGGAAATTCCGGGCTGGGAATGTGAGGAAGGAAGGAGGAATTAAGGAGAAAATTTGGGAAGAGGAGGAGGAAGGGATGGAAGGAATGATCCCAGGGAAAAGGCGGATTCCAGAGGGGCTGGCTTGGAAAAACGGGAAGGGAATGGAGCTGCATGGAGCATCCCAAATTTCCATCCTCATCCATGGAAAAACCATTTCCCATCCCACGGACACCCCTGCCCACTCCCTGTCCCATTCCCAGGCACATTCCCAGAGGATTTGGAGCTGGGAAATCCGGGAATGGGATCCATGGGGACAGGAGAAGCCCCTCCCCACCATCCAGGGGTTTTCCTGGAATCCAACCCGATGGATCCAGGGGTTTTCCTGGAATTGAAACTCGGCCTGGAAGTGAAACTCGGCCTTCCCAGTCCCAGCCAATATTTGGATTTTCCAGTGTTGAATCCAAGGAAAATACTGGAAAATTCAGGAATGGGATCCATGGGGACAGGACAAGCCCCTCTCCAATATCCAGAGGATTTTCCTGGAATTAAGTCGGATGGATCCAGGGATTTTCCTGGAATTAAGTCTGATAGATCCAAGGGTTTTCCTGGAATCAGGCCTGGAAGCGAAGCTCTGCCTTCCCAATCCCACCCAACACTTGGATTCTCCAGCACCGAATCAAAGGAAAAAAGCTGGAAAACTTTGGAAAATTCCACTTCTCCCTCCCACCCCACTTTTGGGATCCTCATCCCGGGGGTCCGGAGCCGCCGGCGCATCCCAGGAAGCTTCGGAATCTCTGCGGAGCCGAGTTTTTAATGGAGCAATTTGATTCAATTTTCCAGTCGATAAAATTCCCCGGCAGCGCTCGGCGCTTCCGAACGGACACCTTCACTCCTGATTTAACATTCCCATCGAATCCTTCCCGGGAAATTGGAAAAATTTATCACCTGTGAAATTTTATTTGGCCTCGGCCGCGTCTGTTTTTGTAAAACTTCATTAACGCCGAGGAAATTATCTCTCCGCGGCTTTTCCCGTTTTTTTTTTTTTTGTTCCCGTCTCCCGGGTTTTTTTCCGTGGTTTTTGGTCGGGAGGTAAAGGCGGGAGAAGGGAGGATGGGATTGGGGTTTTTCCTGGGGATTTTGGGAGTTTGGGATGAAGGAAAATCCGTGAGTTGGGTTATCCTGGAGAGCTGGGAAGCCTAATCCATGGAAATCCATGGAAATCCATGGAAATACATAGAAGTCCATGGAAAACCATGGAAAATCCATGGAAATCCATGGAAATCCATGGAAATCCATGGAAATGCATGGAAGTCCATGGAAATCCATGGATTTTTCCTTGACAGGCTATTTCAGGAAAGCTGGAACCCCTAATCCGTGTAAGTCCATGGAAATCCATGAAAACCTATGGAAAACCTGTGGAAATCTGTGAAAACCCATGGAAATTCATGGAAACGCATCAAAATCTATGAAAATCCATCCAAATCCATGGAAAAGTATAAAAACCCACAAAACCCCATGAAAATCCATTGAAATCCTTGAAAAATCCACGAAAATCCATGAAAACTCTGAGGGCCGCTCCAGCAGAATCCCCAGATCCGAAATTCCCAGAAAAACAAGGTTTGGGTTTGGGAGGTCCATCAAAAGCTCGGAATAAAGAAATGGGGTAAAACCTTGGAATTTTGGGTGGGTTCAAAGCAGAGATGTGGGAATGGCCAAGGTTTCCTCACGTTTTTCCAAGGAAAAGTTGGGAATCTGGGAGCTCACCTGGCAGCACCTCGTAGATGTCATCGCCTTCCAGCTCCGGATCCTCTGGATTCAGGGTGGAATTCTGGGAATTGTTCATGGAATCGGAGCTGTCCTGGTCCTTGGAGAGCTCTTCCTCCTCCTCCTCCTCCTCCTCCTCCTCTTCCTCATCCTCATCGCAGGGAATGGTCAGGGAGCTCAGGTCTGCCAGGAAAGAAGGAAAAAGGGATGGAAAAATGGGAATTCTTCCCATTCCAGAGGCTGGGATGGAGATCCAAATACTGCGGCCGAGAATGGGCAAAAAACCAAGGAAATACCCAAAGAAAGACGGAAAAAACCCAAAGAAAGATGGAAAATCCCAGGAAATAACCCCAAATTCAGGGACGAATCCCGAAGGGACACAGCCTGGGGGGGGTGGGGGTTCCAGAGATTCTGGAAAATTCCAGAGGGTTCCAGAGGGTTTCTGGAATTTTCTCTGTCTCCAGCTGGAGCAACTCCACACAAGCCCAGCTGGGAGAGGGGGGAAATGGGATGAAAAGTGGGAATTCTCCCAATTCCAGAGGGGTGGGATCGAGCTCCAAACCCGACACCAGAGAACTGGGAAAAAACCTATGGAAAATCCAAGGAAAGATGGAAAATCCGAGGGAATGACCCCAAATTCCACGTGGGCCTGGAGGGATGGAGGCTGGAAAGCTGCTTGGGGATTCCAGAGAATTTCTGGAATTTTCTCTGCCTCCAGCTGGAGCAAGTCCCCACAAATCCGGGCGCGGGTGGATGGAAAGCCCCGATCCAGGTGGGATGACGCTTCCCAAAATCCCAAAAAGTGGGAGCTGCTCCGGACTCACCCTTGAGGAGGAACTGGATCTGCTCCACCCAATCCTGGGCCTCGGCCGGGCTCGGAGCTGTGAACTGCCGGGAGAAGCCGTTATCCCGGGATTTGGGATTTGGGATTTGGGATGAGGGGACGGGGATCCTCCATTCCCAACCCCAGGGCACCGGGAAAAGCCATTCCCGGGATTTATCTCCCAGCTCCAATGGGAGAGGAGCACAGCCAGAATATCCCAGGAAAGCTGAACACTGAACCCATGGAAACCCATGGAAACCCATGGAAATCCATGAAAACCCAGGAATACCCATGAAAACCCAGGGAAATCCATGGAAATCCGTGGAATTCCATGAAAACCCATGAAAACCCAGGGAAATCCATTAAAACCCAGGGAAACCCATGGAAACCTTGGAAATCCATGAAAATCCACAAAAATCAATGGAAACCCTAGCAAGGCTGTCAGATGTAATCCATGGAAATCCATGTAAATCCATTCCCATTTCTCCCCCCAAAATTCCCATTTCCCAGCAAAAATTCCCAATTTTTGCCCCGAAATTCCCATCTTCCCCCCCAAAATTCTCATTTCCACCCCACAAATTCTTATTTCCCCCAAAAAATTCCCATTTTTTCCCATGAGATTCCCGTTTCCCGCCACCAAGATTCCCCTTTTCCTGCCATTTCCCACCTCGTAGGAGCGTTTTCCAGGACAGAGCAGCTGGAAGCAGCATTTTTTCCGGGAATCTTTCCGGAGCTGGGAATCCAGGTGGGCCTGGTAGTGCTCGATGGGAAAGGAGCCTTTGGGCTGCTTGCCTGGGAAAAGGGAATTGGGAAAAATTTAGGATTTTCCAGCTTTTTTCCCACACCTGGATGCGGATCAGGGGGATTTATCCATGGAGGGAAACTGAGGCACGTGGCTGGAAAATTCCAGGAAAGGGGAATGTCTGGAAAATTCTGGGAGAAAGAAACGGGTGGAAAATTTGGGAAAGGGGAAATGGCCGGGAAAATTCTGGGAAAGGGAAATAGTGTGAAAATTCTTGGGAAAGGGGAAATGGCTGCAAAATTCCAGGAAAGGGAAATTCTGGTAAAGAATTGCCAGAAAATTCCTTTTGCTCCAATGGAAAAAAAAAAAAACAACCAAATCCAGCTGGGATTTTCCCTTCCAGGAGCTGGGAATTGTGGTTTTCCATGGTCACATCCCTCTTTTCCACCCAGAAGTTGGGAATTCTTTTCCCACTCACTTTTCTCGTTGGCGTAGTAGAGGAAATTCCGTTGGGTGAGGACGCACCAGCGCTTGTGCCACTCGGAGCCGAAAAAGCTGGGCTCTGGAAAACAGGGAAAAATGGGGAAAAATGGGAAAAGCCAGGGAAAAAAGGGGAAAAGCAGGGAAAATGCTGCATTTTATTCCTTTGGGATGCCTTTCTCATGGATTCCGTGCGGCCAGGGAAGGCGTTTGGGGTTAAATCTCTGGAAAATGTTGTTAAAGCAGAGATGAGCGGGAGTTAAGCCAGGCCTAACTCTGAGCTGAGCTCAGGGAAAAATCAGGAGCTGTTTCTGCCTCTTCCCATCAATAATTCCCGAGAAAATCCCATTAGGGAAGGGAATAATTTGTGGCTTTCACGGGAAAAGGGAGATAAGGCCCAGGCTGATTCCGAGCCCGGCTCTTATCTCCGCATTAAATGTGGGATGATCCCGAATCCCTGGAGCTTTTCCCGGCTTCTTCTCCTCATTAGTTTTGCCCTCCAGGCCTGGGCCGAGCTTAATTTAATTCCAGGATTTAATTTGGATGCTCTGGAAAAGGGAATGAGCCCGGCAAGGCGTTGGAAAAACCTGGAAACTCCTGTCAGTGGAAATCCATGGATTTCCTGTTTTTTTCCTGGTTTTTATTTTAGGCTGGAAATTTGGGATTTTCCCAAATTTTCAGGTGGCAGCCTCTGATCTACTCCTGGAATTCCAGGTTTTACCTCGGGATCTCTTCTCCAGGTATCCTTGCTTCAAAATATTCCCGGAATCCTGGATGGGCCGTGGGATCTCCTCCAGGCCTGCGGGGAGCAAAGCAAAGGAAAACCTTGGAATTTGCCAATCCCATTCCCACATTCCAAGGTTTCCATCTCCTTTCTTTGGGGAAGCAGCGTTCGGTTTATCCTGATCCCGCTGATATTCCCAGGACTGGGAGCAGGGAACGGGGTCTTGAAATTCCAGGATTCAGCGGGATGAGGCTGGAGCTGCCCTTTTTCCCTGGAATCTGGTTGGGTTTTGGATATGGAAAACCCAATTCCCATGGAAAACCCAATTCCCACTGTGGATCTGCCCGTGGAATCTCATCCCAAAGCCTGGAAGGGCTCTGCCGTTCCCAGCTGATCCCAAAAACCTGGGAATCCTGGGATCGTGGGAGGTGACCCTGGATGAGCTTTAGGATCCCTTCCTTCCCAAATGATCCCCTAATAAATCCACATAAAAGTGAAAAATATAAAAATATATTTTAAAAATATATAAAAATAATATAAAAATTTAAAAATATGGACCCATGACTTGAAAATCCCTGGAATTCCTTCCCTGCTCCCCAATTCTTCCCCCATCCCAACATTCCGACCCCGGCCGAGCCCGGCCTGATCCACAATGAGCCGGAAAATCCTAAATCATTCCCTAATGGAGCGTCCATCCCATCCATCAGCGGGCGGGAATTCATCCCCATTAATTCCCTAATCCGTGATAAACTTCCCGTCCTTTCCTGTCCGCGCGGGGACTCCGTAAATCCCGACTTTTGCTCCGGCTCCACCGGAGCGTTCAGGTGTGCTCCGACCATTCCTCGTTAGCCCGACGGCCTCATTTTCCCGGGAATGGCCTTGGAGGCCTCGTTTTCTGGGAATGGCCTTGGAGGCTCCATTTTCTGGGAATGGCCTTGGAGGCCTTGTTTTCCCAGGAATGGTGAGGCCTTGGAAGCCTCATTTTCCCGGGAATGGCCTTGGAAACCTCATTTTTCCGGGAATGGCCTTGGAAGCTCCATTTTCCGGGAATAGCCTTGGAGGCCTCGTTCCTAAGGCAGTAAACTTGGGAATTCCACCGGCAGCAAACTTGGGAAAAAGTTTGGAATTACAGGAAAACTTGGGAACTCCGGAGGCAACAAACTTGGGAATTCCAGAGGCAAGAAACTGGGGATAACTCCCCACGGCAGGGCAAATCCAGGGGGTATCCAGCATTTTTTGGGATTCTAGCCAAGGCGACGCTCAGCAGAGCTGGGGAACAGCTTCCATAAATCCCGGCTCGTCCCGGGAATCTGCGGAACGCCGGGATCAGCCCCCGCATCTGGCTGGGAAGCGCAGCCGGAGCTCGAGCGCGGCTTTTCCGTGTTCCCGATAAGGAGCTCATCCATCAGGGCCGGGGTAAGGCAGAAGGGCGGGAACGGGGCTGGATTTATCGGGAATGTGTCATTCCCTCCACACGCCCCACGGGATAAATGGATCCTCCATCATTCCCGGCCGCTCCGCACCTGCGGCCGCGCGCGCTCCGGGAGAAGCGGAGCCAAGGATTTGATGGATTTTCCCGACTTTAATGAACGTAAACAAACAAAGGAGAGAGGGAAACATCAAATAATTCCCGTGACAGCTCCCAAAAGGAGCCGGGAGAGCGGGAAGCGCTTCCCAAAGGAGCCGCGTTTGATGTGGGATCGGGATTTGTAAACAGCGGCAGCTCCGGATCGCGCCTTATCCAAATATTTCCCTTTCCCAGCGCCGGCTGAAAGTCGGGATTGACGGCTTTGGACTCTTCAACTTTCAGCTTTCACCCCGCGGCTCCGGAGGGAGGGAGACCCCACCCCCCGTTCCCGCTGGAATTTGTTCCCTAATTTCCCCTCGGAAAAGCTGATATGGGGCAGCTGGATATCAAAGTCCCAGCGCTGCTTTTCCCCGGCATTCCCGGTTTTCCAGAGGGTCCCAAACCCCTCCAAGGACCTCTCGGCCCCAAAGGAGGAGGGAGGGGGGAGTGACCTCAATTCCTGCCGGGATTTGTTCCCTAATTCCCCCTTGGAAAAGCTGATGTGGGACACCTGGAGATCAAACTGGTCCCGCTCTTCCCACTCATTCCCGGTTTTCCAGAGGGTCCTGAGCCCCTCCAAGGACCCCGCGGTCCCAAAAGGAGCCACTGGAGGAGGGGGAGAGGGAATGGGAGGGATGAGCCCCATTCCTGCCGGGATTTATTCCCAGTCTCCCCATGGAAAAGCTGATCCGGGGCACCTGGAGATCAAACTGGAGCCGCTCATTCCTGGTTTTCCAAAGTTTTCCTGTTTTCCTCTGGTCAGAGCCCTCATCCATCCCATCCCTCTTTTCTCTCCAGGTCAGGAGCTGCCCATGGATCAATCCCAGAGGGATGAAGCTCCCCTGGCCATGGATAAACAGGATTTGGGATGCTGAGCCATGGGAACAAATCCCAAATTCCAAATCTTAAATCCCAAATCCCAAATCCCAAATCCCAGCCCAATCACCCCTTTTCCTTATTCCCAATGGGGGCAGTGACCCCAGGGAAAATCCCAAATTTTGGGGAGCTGAGGGTGTCACAGAGCAGGAATTCCACGTTTAATCCCGAGCAGCAGCAGCGCTGAAATTCGGGAATAAAAGGAAAGGAATGAAAGGACCTTCCTGCCATAAATATCCCGGGAATTGGCACCGGGACTCTGGGGTTACATCCCGGCTCTTCAAAAATCTATCCCAAGAAAATCAAGCACCTCCATCACCTCCCGGGAATATTTACGGCCTCCGGCAAGGGCTGGCCAGCAGAATTCCCACTTGGAATTCTCCAGGAGCCGGCAAAGGTCAGCGCGGGGATGGAGGCGGCTGAAGGATTTCCCTCCCGAGATTCCAAGGCCACGAGATCCCAACCCTGGAGCTGCTCCCAAGGGATTCTCCCGGGGTTCGGGGTCGCGTCCCGGGGCAGGAATTCAGGGAAAGGCCGTGTCATTCCAAGATTTTGCCACAAGGAAGCAGCAGAAGCTCAGGATTGGAGTCGGGAGCGGGAGCAGCCCCGGAGGGAGCAGCAGCGGGGGGCTGGGATCCCAATTCCCAAATTTCCCACCCCAAAAAGGGGCTGGGAACCCCGGCTGGGATCCCAATTCCCAAATTTCCCCCCCAAAAAAGGGGCTGGGAACCCCGGCTGGGATCCCAATTCCCAAATTTCCCACCCCAAAAAGGGGCTGGGAACCCCGGCTGGGATCCCAATTCCCAAATTTCCCATCCCAAAAAGGGGCTGGGAACACCGGCTGGGATCCCAATTCCCAAATTTCCCACCCCAAAAAGGGGCTGTGCAGATCCCAGACCTCCCCTGTTCCTCAGTTTTAGGGTGTCAGCTCCGTGTCCCCATTCCTGCTGGGAATTCCAAGGGAAGAAGACAAGGGGTTGGCAGGTCCCTGTCCCCATCCCTGTCCCTTTTCCCAGTTTTGGAGTGGCAGCTCCGTGCCCCGTTCCCGAGGGAAGAGGATGAGGGTTGGCGGGTCCCTATCCCTGTCCTTGTCCCCATCCCTGTCCCTTTTCCCATCCCATCCCATTCCCCCCAAACCCCTTATCCCATTTTAGGGTGGCAGCTCCATGCCCCATTCCCGCTGGGAATTCCAAGGGAAGCAGATGGGGGTTGCCAGATCCTTATCCTTGTCCTTGTCCCCATCCCTGTCCCAGCCCCTTTTCCCACCCCAGTGCCCCCAAACCCCTTTTCCCAGTTTTGGGGTGCCAGCTCCGAGCCCCATTCCCGCTGGGAATTCCAAGGGAAGCAGATGGGGGTTGCCAGATCCTTATCCTTGTCCTTGTCCCCATCCCTGTCCTGCCCTTTTCCCATTCCCTCCCAGCCACTTTTCCCACCCCAGTGCCCCCAAACCCCTTTTCCCAGTTTTGGGGTGCCAGCTCCGCGCCCCATTCCCGCTGGGAATGCCGCGGGAAGCTCCAGCCCCGCTCCCTCCCGTTCCCTCTCCTGACCTCATCACTTTTCCCACCCCACCAAAAGTGCTGAGCGCGGCTTTCCCGGGAGTTATTTATCCGCGGGAGAAATTATTAAAAAAATTATTGGGAAAAAAAGGGAGATAAAACAAAACATCGATCGCTGCGGCCGCATCCGCCTCTGGGAGCGCTGGGAAGTGACAGCGGATAAAGGATGGCGGGGCCAGAAAAACAGGGAACTGCTTTTTATGGCAGCTCGGATTCCCACAAAGCCATAAATCCGGGATGAGACGGGTCGGGAGCTCCAGGTGGGGTTTGGGGATCTGTGGGTAGGAATCCTGATGGGATCGGAGCTCTGGGACCCCAAATCCTGCTGGGATCAGGATTCCAGTATCCCAAAATCCAGGTGGGATCAGAGCTCCGGGGCCCCAAAATCCTGCTGGGATCAGGATTCCAGGATCCCAAAATCCAGGTGGGATCAGAGCTCTGGGGCCCCAAAATCCAGGTGGGATCAGGATTCCAGGACCCCAAATCCAGGTGGGATCAGGGCTCCAGGATCCCAAATCCAGGTGGGATCAGGATTCCAGGACCCCAAATCCAGGTGGGATCAGGGCTCCAGGACCCCAAATCCAGGTGGGATCAGGATTCCAGGACCCCAAATCCAGGTGGGATCAGGGCTCCAGGATCCCAAATCCAGGTGGGATCAGGGCTCCAGGACCCCAAAATCCAGGTGGGATCAGGGCTCCAGAACCCCAAATCCAGGTGGGATCAGAGCTCCAGGACCCCAAATCCAGGTGGGATCAGGATTCCAGGACCCCAAAATCCAGGTGGGATTGGAGTTCCAGGACCCCAGAATTACAGCTGGATCAGGGTTTTGGAATCCAGGGGGGACATTGGGACCTTATCCCCAAATCCAGGTGGGATCAGGGCTCCAGGATCCCAAATCCAGGTGGGATCAGGGCTCCAGGACCCCAAATCCAGGTGGGATCAGGGCTCCAGGACCCCAAATCCAGGTGGGATCAGGGTTTCAGTGTCCAGGGCAGACATTGGGCCCTTTCCCTAAAATCCAGGGATTTGGGATTGAACAGAACCCCAGGAATGGGATCCCATGGGAACTCAGCCCC